TGAATTAAATAGAAAAATTCGAATATCTGAGAAACTATTAGAGCTAGAATCTTCAAAATTTACTTGAAGAACTTTGACATTCATCTGAACAATTAGAGTATAACGGGCGGACTTTCAATGGGGGACTTGGTACCTCCCATATTAATTAAATACAAAATTTCGTTTATCTGGGAAACTAATAGAACTAGATTCTTCAAATTTTGCACAAATTACTTTAATATTCATCTAAACATTTTGGAGAAAAAAGGGCGGGCTTTTATCTTGGGGGCTTGAAACCCCCACATGAATTTAATAGAAAAATTCTTATATCTGAGAAACTATTAGATGTAGAATCTTTAAATATTACATGAAGTACTTTGACATTAATGTAAACATTTAGGGAATAATTGGCGGACTTTAAATGGGGGACTTGGCACTTCCCATGTTAATTAAATACAAAAATTGGTGAAGCTAGTATTAAATATAAAAGGATATACAATTATAAAAGGATTCCAACAAAACTGGGACTCAATATAATATTTAGGTAATTAAAACTTGATTAAACTGATTAAATGTTAATACTTTTTGTTTGTTAATCAAACAAATACCAAATATGTTATGACTATATTTTTTGTTTAATTACAATCACACACTTTTCTATCAGATGGATTAAATACTCGAAACAATAGGCCATGTTTGCTTTATTCTATTTATTTGGGTGTGCATTTAATTAGTATTCCATGTCGTCATTATTGAATTGTGTAGCTTTTTTGTTTATTTTAGCAAATAATTTTAGTATCTGCTGCTGCTGCTGCTATTACTAGTTTACTCATATGTTGTGCGTAAGTGATTGTATATGTTGCTACCAACGGTCATAGTAGTATTAACTAAATATACGTTGTAGCCATACCCTGCAGTGCAGTCAGGAACTAGTGATTTTACCTATTACTTTGGATACAAATTGACTCTATATTTTATTTTATATAGTAGTTTAAATGCTTATTTCATAAAGTCCACTGCAAAAGAAATAACTGTCTACTCTTTAGTTTACCTCGGTTAAGTAAAGTAACGAATGATTTCCTTTTTCCAAATTACTTGGGAAGTGATGATTGATTATTATCACTTGAATTATAAAATGACTTTGAATCAATTAAAGTTTCTTAAGTTTGATGCAAAAACCTAATATCAATAGTCGACTCTTTACATTACTTAGGGACAGTACCGTGACGATTGACTTACGAAGATTTCATTCTCAGCAAATGTCTCATTATAAATTTCTTAAATACAAATCTCTCAAAATTGTTAAAACGTTTTTTTTTTTTTTTGAGTCCATTGACTACTTTTCGTACTGCTGGGTACATTCTCTACTACTATTAGTTGGTTATGTTTCGTTGTCTGCGCTGTCCAGTCATTATGTACTTTAGGTATGACAAGTGTATTTTTTATAATAATGATATTATCACAGCAAAAAAAAAAGTAAAATAAAAAATCAACAAATAAAAATTCCATAACTTCCGCTACGTAATAATATGGATATTTATGGAGAGTAGTTCATATACATTCACGCTTATGAAAACACATTTTCTAGCAATATTTTTTCCTACATTTAGTCGGAAATAATTTTGTTTGTCATCGTCATTTTCGAAGTTTTTAAAATGCCCTACTCTGCAATGTAATTTTTATACCCTTCACCTTCGTGAGAAGGGTATATATAAGTTTGTCATTCCGTTTGTAATTTCCAAAATATAATTTTCCGACCCCATAAAGTATATATATTCTGAATCCTGTCTGTCCGTCTGTCTGTCTGTCTGTTGAAATAAGTTTTCTGAAGACTCCAGATATCTTCGGGATCCAAATCTTCAATAATTCTATCAGACATGATTTCGAAAAGTTTCCTATTTAAAATCAGCAAAATCCCTTCATAAACAACGGAGATATAAGCAAAAATCCGAGACAACCTCTGAAAATTTAAAAAAAAAAAAACAACAACAACACTGCTTATTCATTGACTTTGTATTTTGTTTTTGTTTTTTTTTTTGAGTATTTCGTTTCGTATGTTTGGATGGCCGTGTGTTTCATTGCCTTGTGTATATTGTTTTTGTTTTCTTCGTGTATTGAATTTCGTATGTTTGGATATCTATTGGTTTCATAGCGTTGTGTATTTTGTTTTTGTTTTTTTCTGTATTTCGTTTCGTATGTTTGGATGTCTGTTGGTTTTACTGCCTTGTGTATTTTGTTTTTTGTGTGTTTATTTCGTTTAGCGTTGTTGTTGTTCATTATGTTTTGCTAAGTATTGTTATAATAATGATATAGTCGGGAAAATGAATTTTTTAATACACTATGGTGAAGGGTATATAAGATTCGGCACAGCCGGCACTCTTACTTGTTTTGTTATCAAGCTTTGAACATACTTTAGAGTAGAGTTTTTATGTTCCATACATCCATCCATCCATGTTTGACCACACTATATTAAATCTGTCAAATCTCTTTTATATTACTTTCTTGGACAAAGATAAACTCATCTTTAATGTTTGGCTTTTTTCTATAATAAACTTAGTAAGGGAGAGAAGAAACACATGTCACTTTACAGTCCACAAGTAATCTAGAAAGTGGAAACATAAAAAACTTAAGCATAAAGTTTTTTTTTTTAGTTTATGGAGTTACGATTGACTTCCTTGTTGGACAAGCATATGTTAAAATAGCTTGTTATAGGTTAAATACCACCATCGTCATGTTGCCATAAAGGAAACCAGCATCCCGATAGAGTCTTGGGTCATTCACTGGTGTAGCGCGGACTGTTTTTGAAACCCTGTGGATCAAAACTCTTAAAACCTTGGGCTCACATAAAGTAAAAATATCCTGCCGATTTGGAGATTCCAAATAGGGAGGACTTGCTTTAATCCACTATATTATTTACTGAAGTTCATCGCGAGTGTCTTTTATAAATTAAGAAATCAGTACCACCCTAATATCGATAAGCGATTGTGTAAGAAAGTACTCTTGAATGAAAATTGTGACTAAGTACTAATAATACTCATTCCTATACAAACACAATGAATATATTTATATATTACGAACAAATAACAAAAGAATGAAAAGGAAATTAATAACAAAATAAACATTGTTTATTGTATTACCTTTTAAGTGTTTTATACTTTAAAAGCTTTTTTAATTAAAGGACAATACTATTATACTTTAATGGAAACAACAGCAGAACAACTTTCCATAAATATACATAATGAGCATGGAGATTTACAAAATTTAATACATTTATATTTGGTAATTATAATAATAATTATTTTTAGGAAATATTCATTGAAAAAAGATTGAGGACAAACTATTTTTAATATAATAGAGAAGTAAGGTTATTTGAATTTCTAAATTGGGACCATAATGTAAATGGTTATTTTCTCTCTTAAAAAAAAGCTTTTTAAATTAGTCTAATATTGAACTTAAAAAAGTAAAATTTAGCATACATAGTGCAGAACGATTGAGTCCTTCTTAAAATTATGGAAAAAAAAAACATTAAACTAGACATATAATACAAAGTCCTGGGCCCTAATTACGGCATACCATATCGATCGAAATCTCAATAGAATCTTAATGGAGATTTCGATCGATATGGTATGCCATAATTTGGGCCCAGGACTTTGTATGATTGAAAGAGATTTCATAAGAGGAGAGTTTTTGGTACTTTTTTGTTCATCAAATGTTAATTTTAGAAAAAACTTAATGTACTCTAAGAGGTTCTAGAATTTTTCTATTCGAGTGATCTTAATCGGATGTTAATGTCAATCTGTCTGACCGTATGTATGCGTGTTGAAAAACTTTTAGAAATGCATTTCGTTTAGGAAAGTAGATATAGGCGAAAATACACTTGCAAGAATTCTACATTTCGGTCTGCAACCAGATGTATTTACTCATCGGTCGGGCCTATTGTAACTTTAGATGTCTATGTAGATGGAGACCTTGAAAAAAGGATAGTTATCGGTATATGACCAAATATGTGCCTCTCTTGATATTACTAGTGCCCTTATTAGTATACCACAAGCGGCTTTGGGCATTATTCTTTACTTGGCTCCGGGTATAGCGGCTAGGAATTTACTAAGACTTGTCTTCATTAGGCAAACTGCCACGTGACAATCATACCAAATTCTGTACTTTGTGGAATTTCAGATCATAGAATTACGACTCTAGAATTCAGGGGAGATACCTTTGATAGAATTTGTAACTAGGGACGATTGGCTTATACCCGATAGACTGTTTGGTGGAATTGAGGAGTTTTTAACGATGGATCAAAGATTGAGTTCCTAACGATCTGGAAAGAGACGTAACTGATACCAAATCATGACGATATGTGGTGGGTTGTGACAATTTATATCGATAGTTAAGCTGCTCTTAGAGCATTAGCATGTCATTCGATACAATCGTATCTGATTGTAGACATGCTCATAGGGACATAGCGATCTGGAAAAAGTGGGTTGTGACAATTTATATCGGTAATCAAGCTTAGTTAGATTGTATACATGATCTTAAGGACGTAATGAAACTGTTAACTTACTATTAGACTGTGCTGGATGCAATGTGCATGTTGGTCCTTTAGAGACTATGTGACATCATAAACCAATCATGGAATTGTAGAATGATTTGCAAATATCAAAGACCTTATGGCCAACACTAGATGTAAAGGCAACCAAGATACGTATAGGACTTGAATAGTACAGTCCCTTCTTTATGTTCTTTTGTTTTTTTAATGTTTTGTTTATCCATTTTTGGATCATTAATTTCTACGAATTGAATCACAATGAACCTTATAATCTACGAGACGATAACCATTCTTAACTAATTAAAAAAAGTATAATTAAAAAACAAATTCTAAATTATAAAATAATTTTTTTATTTATGTATTTTTAAAAATTTTTTTTATTTATGTATTTGATAAATAGATTAAAGTTTATTAAGTTGTACATTTTTCTACCTAAAATATAATTAATAATTTACACTATTTGTTTTTCTTTTAGATACTGATGTCAAGACTGTCAAATCTATTGCTGAAATTTTACAATTTTGAAAAAATGATATAAACAATAACAACAACAACAATTCCATCCAATTGAAAACGTCAATATTAAACTTTATATACAAAAAAAAAAACACAACATAAAACAATAGAAATATTATTGAACAAATATCTATTTTATGGTCGACTTATTAAATAAACATTGTTTTTGTTACCACACAAAAACAAACAATAATATTATTATTAGAATTACAAATCATATACAACATACTATATTAATACAACTACATACACCAATACATGATATTTACTAAACGATTGTTCGTTGTCTTTGTAAAATTATTATTAATATTATTGACTAAACAATAAAGGGAAAAAAATAAAGACCAGACAAGACGGATATTTAGTAAAGGAAAGATAAACAAGAAAAACTATTCTTCAAATTTCAATCATGGCATATTGCAATGCTTGAACGTTTCCGTTTATGTAATTTAAGTCGTCACTGTCGTTTACGATCTACAGAACTGGCTCGAGATAAGAAACAAAGACAACAATGTGTTACCATACTATTTCTCGATGACACTACCCAAACCTTTCGGATAGAGGTAAGTGTTGTTGATACAAAAATAAAAATTTACTTTGCATGTTATTCAAATACTATTTTTGCTTTAAAATTTTTATATAATTTTGCAAGTATTTATAAATTATAATTTATTTTATTGTTTTTATCTGTTTCTTCTTCTCTGTTTGTTTTTGTTAAGTTTTTTTTTCTTATGTTTATTTGTATTAAACTTAACTTTCACAATTATTGTGCAGCAGTTGGGGTTTTAATTTTCATTTAAATTATGCTGCTGCTGCTGCTGCAACTCCCTGCATGAGTGCAATTTTTACCATCATTTTGTCTAAACTTACATTTTTTACTTTTCAATGTTTTGTAATCGTTAAACAAAACAAAAAAAACAACACGCACTTCTTCTTTCATTATCATTAGTTAAATAAATAGGGTTTTTAGTTGAGGTTTTAAACATTTTTAACGAAGATGGTCTCAGGAGTAGAGCATATGACGACAATCTGGCGACTTACCTACAGCAGTAAACTGTAGAATTTAAAAAGTATCCTCATGAATTATTAGTATTTTACAAACTTAGAATGTGCTGAACACCAGGAGCATGGTTATGTATAACGTAGCAGGAATATGATCTGATCAGAAAGTCACAGAGCTTCTAGGGCTGTCGAAGCACTCATCCGGCTGGGAGCACAACACCACTGTGGTGCCTGTTTATGGTCGGAAGTCAGAGACATCCCCTCCTGTCCTCAGCTGTAGGAGTAGTCTTTTGGAAAAAGTAGGTGTAGTTTTTTGTAAAAAGTCAACCAGATGTCAAAAAGGACGCCAATCTCGTTCGCAAGCAGCCGTGGAGGAGTCGCCTAGTGCCCCTCCACGAGATACTTCCAATTCTAGCCAAACAAAAGAAGACAGAACAAAGAATGGCTCATGGAAAACTTTGGTTTATCTAGCTAAGATGGAGCAGATAGATCTGTCGTTGTTTTCAGCTAAGGAAAAGTACTTCCTCAAGAAACACATGATAGATCAAAAGGCCTAGTAAGCACTCATAAGGGTGTGGGATTTTCGACATCAGCTCCTTTCCGAATCGATAAAACCCGTATCCACTGCTACGGTTGGAGTTGCGGAGCAGCGAAGAATGAAGGAAAATCTCCGACCACTTCTCCTAATGGTTCTCAAAAGGGAATTTTGCTTATATCTCGATTTATGGGCCGATTTTGCTGATTTTATATAGGAGTGAACATTTTCTTTGCCTCTGCCCTGCTTTGACAAATATCAGGACTGAGTTTCTGGGCAGTTTAATACTGCATGAACTTGCGGCTCTCTTTAATATGGATACATATAAGAATCAAACACGGACATTTAATGTCCTATAGGTGGGTTTTTGCTTATATCTCGATTAATGGGCCGATTTTGCTGATTTTATATAGGAGTGAACATTTTCTTTGCCTCTGCCCTGCTTTGACAAATATCAGGACTGAGTTTCTGGGCAGTTTAATACTGCATGAACTTGCGGCTCTCTTTAATATGGATACATATAAGAATCAAACACGGACATTTATTGTCCTATAGGTGGGTTTTTGCTTATATCTCGATTTATGGGCCGATTTTGCTGATTTTATATAGGAGTGAACATTTTCTCTGCCTCTGCACTGCTTTGACAAATATCAGGAATGAGTTTCTGGGCAGTTCAATACTGCATGAACTTGCGGCTCTCTTTAATATGGATACATATAAGAATCAAACACGGACATTTAATGTCCTATAGGTGGGTTTTTCGCAGAATGCGTTACAGGGTAACACAAAGGGACCATTATGGACCCAAGTGAGTCAATCACTGGCCGGCTGCCTCAATAATCTACCCTAACCATATAGGAAACTTCTCGAAAGCATAACTGATAAAATTAATGAAGATTCGGATCAAAAATCTGCGGTCCTCTAAAATCAGATTTTAACAGACATTCCTACGTTTATGAATAAATCAACTTCGATATCTATAAGGAATCAAAATACTTTATAGGGTCGAAAAATTATATTGTAGAAATTACAAATGCTCCAAATTTCAGAATGATGTATAATGCATTGAAACAATAGAGCAAATTTTCTTATACTATTCAAAACTAGATTCCTAGAATTTGCTTAAGGCATATTATGGACCTTTATCTTTTGAGTAATATAAAATATATTAGCTAAAACTATATTTTATATATGTATTTTATAGATTATTTTACATCATTACTCATAATAAAACCGCTTTCATAATTGTGGTTTAAGTCAATACACTTCATTTATAGAATTTTGAAATTTCTGGAATTGAAAGAATTTCTATTAAAGTAATATTATTGAAAATACAATTAAAAGAAGCCTTTAAATATACATATGTATGTATGTACTATAATACTAATAACTTGAATTTGAATAATGTATTTATTACAGAAACGTGCCAAAGGTGGCGATTTACTTGAGCAAGTATATCAGTTTCTAGAACTATCCGAAAGGGATTATTTTGGTTTATTATTTCCCACAAAACCTGGCGATGTTGTGGTATGTATTATTATATATTAATTATCTTGTGTGATTGAAGCCAGTAGTAGTAATTTATTTATATATAATTTATACAATAGCGATGGGTTGATGCACAAAAACCATTTAAAAAACAATGCAATAGTATTGCATGGGATAATGACACCGTTCCATTATTAGAATTTAGAGTTAAGGTATGTAATATAAAACAAATATGTCTGTAATTCACAAACAATATACTTATTTATTATTATTATTATTTTCATTGTTATTAGTTTTATGTAAGTGATCCCAGTCGTTTACAAGAAGAATATACACGTTATCAATTTTATTTGCAAATAAAACGTAACATTTTATTGGGCAAACTGCCATGTTCAATTAATACACAATGTCTATTAGCTAGTTATACTGTGCAATGTAAGTTTTACTTTTTCCTAATATTTAAATGATTGACATCTTGATAATATTGAATATTTGCTTTAGCTGAACTAGGTGATTTCAATCCTTTAGAACATCAACCGGGCTATTTAAGTAATTTACAATTATTGGCCGATCAATCATCAGATGCTGAACGTAAAATATCGGAATTACATAAATTACATCGTGGCCAGTTGCCAGCTGATGCTGAATATAATTATTTGGAACATGCTAAAAGACTTGATTTATATGGCATTGATTTGCATAAAGCCATGGTAAATGTTGCAAAATATTATTTATAGAACCTTTTGATTCGTTTAAAACATGTTTGCAACACTCTCCTGTTTTTTTTTTTTTTTTCTAGGATTCCAATGGCAAAGATTTACAATTGGGTGTTTCTGCTATAGGTCTTCTAGTTTTTCAAAACTCTTTACGTATTAATACCTTTTCTTGGTCCAAAATGGTTAAGGTTTCATTTAAACGTAAAGATTTCTTTATACAGCTACGTCGAGAACCGGTAAGTCGAAAAATGCAACAAAAATGTTTTACATTTCCTAAATTTTTTTTGTTTTTTAAGGAAAATTATTGAAATTTTCATCAACATTTTATTATTATGTATTTGTGTACTCTTTTATAGAAGATTTTAAACATTTTCGAAATTTTCTCTTTTTATATAAAAATTTCAAAATTTTCTCTCTTTTTATAATTAATTTTTTTATTTTTTTTTTTTTTCAAAATTTTCTCTCTTTTATAAAAAATGTTCAATATTATCACTTTTTATAGAAAATGTTCATATTTTCTCTTTTTATAGAAAATTTTCGAATTTTTCTTTTTTAATTTCAGTCAAAATTTTTCTTGAAGAAAAGAGACATTTTCGAAAATGTTTTTTATAAAAAAGAGAAAATTTGGCAAATTTTATAAAAAATAAAAATTTTCTCTTTTTTAAAAAACATTTTCAAAAATGTTTCTTTTTTTAAAGAAAATGCTTGAAAATTTAAATAATTTTCGAAATTAAAATTTTTTTTCGAAATTTTCTTTTCTTTCGAAATTTTCTTTTTTTTTTTTAAATAGAAAACTTTCGAAATTTTCTCTTTTTTTAAGAAGAGAAAATTTTCTCTCACTTAAATAAATTGTCTCTTTTTAAAGAAAATTATCTCTTTTTAAAGAAATATTTCTCTCTTCAAAGTAAATTTTCAAAATTTTCTCATTTTTAAAAAAAATTTAATTTTTTTTTGTAGAAAATTTTCGAACTTCTCTCTTTTTTGCAGACGTTTTTCTATTTTTATAGAATATTTTCGAAATTTTCTATTTTTTTTTATAATAATTTGGAAAATTTTCTCTTTTTTATAGAAAATTTTCGAAATTTACCCTTTTTAAAACAAAATTTTTAAAATTTTTTACAGAAAATTTTCGAATTATTCTCTTTTTTTATAATTTCTTTTTTAAATTTCCTCTTTTATAGAACATTTTCGAAATTTTCTCTTTTCTTCAAATTAACTCTTTTCATTAAAAATTTATTTCATTTCCAGTCGGAAAGCTATGACACTTTATTAGGTTTTAGTATGAATTCTCATAAACATGCCAAGGCTTTGTGGAAATCTTGTGTAGAGCATCATTCGTTCTTCCGTCTAAAGAGACCTCATCGTCTGTCACGCTTCCTTAATTTAAGTTTAGGATCAAAGTGAGTCAATTTTTAATTATAATACCAAAGAATTTTACAATTTTTTATTATCAAATTTTCTGTTACAAGTAGATTCTATTATTCCGGTCGCACCGAGCTTCAAGCTGTACAAGAATCAAAACAACGTGCTAAAATCCATAAAGCTTTTGTTCGTTCTCCCAGTAAACGTTTAATAACCATTGGACCTGGTGGCACTACAACTTCACCATTGGCTAATGGTGGCAGTGGATCCGATAGCAATGGTAGTGTTTCACATAATGGTAAAACTCCGTCCGCAATAGCTGCTGCACACACGTCCATTTTAACCATAACAAAAACTAGCCGTCCTCATCATGACAATAAGGTTACGTCCAAACAATTGGATTCAATGCCACGCAAAGCTTGGGAGCAACACAGCGATGAATATGATATACAACTGTAGGTAGTCAATGGTAAAAATTGTTATTTTCTTATTAATTTTTCCATTCCTAAACTAGTGATACCGGCTATATTGAACAGTGCAGTCGACGTTTTGAGTCTCCAGTTCCTGCTTATAGTACTGGTTCACATAGTCCCAATGGCACGCAAATGGGCGCAGCTATAACCACCTATATTAATGGCTGTTCAACAGCACCTGAAAGTGGCAGTGATTTGATAACCATACGTTTGCTAGCCGATGAACATGGACGTTTTGGTTTCAATGTTAAGGGAGGCATTGATTTAAGTTTACCAGTACAAGTATCAAAAGTTGTACCTAATACTCCAGCCGATCGCTGTACGCCTCGAGTACGAGAAGGCGATGAAGTTGTTCTTATAAATGGTCGAGAGGTGCATGGTCTGAAGCACGAACAAGTTGTAAGCATGATAAAAGAATGTCGTACGACCCGCAATGGTGAGCTATTGCTGACCATGAGGCCTGGAGGTAGGGCTGCTGCTTTCACCGAAGAAGAGGAGCCTCTGTATCAATATGTGCCAGAGAATGATGAAATCGGCTCACATTCAAATCTCTTAGATGGTGATGCTTTATTCACTCAAAGTCTTTTGTTGTTAAGTGATGGTTTGGCTTCCGGTGCCTTGTTGGCCCAATATGAATTGATGTATCGTAAAAATCCCGATTTACTTATAACGGAAGCTCGCAAACCGGAAAATATTGCTAAAAATCGTTATCGTGACATATCGCCATATGATTGCACTCGTGTAACTCTCGTAAATTGCTCAAGTGGTGATTACATCAATGCCAATTATGTTAATATGGAAATACCGGGTGGCATCAATCGCTACATAGCCACCCAGGGACCATTGGCCACTACCACCGCCGACTTTTGGCGCATGGTTCAACAGGAAAGCAGCCATTTGGTGGTAATGCTTACCACCGTAATGGAAGCGGGTCGACAGAAATGCCATCAATATTGGCCAGTAACGGGTGAAGAACTTCAATTGGGAGAGGGTTTTTCGGTAAAATGTCTTAGCGAGAAACCCGATGAGACTGGTAGTTTTGTATTTAGGGAATTTTTACTATGCGATAAGCGTACCGGTGAACAGCGTCACATTCAACACATGCAATATCTTGCCTGGCCAGATCATTGTGTGCCAGCTGATCCAAATTTATTTTTAGAATTTGTCGAACGTGTGCGTAATGCGCGTAATCGTACGTTATTGCAGGAGATTGAGGAGAGTCTCAAGCAAGTGCGTTTGCTAGATGCAGACGCCGATGAAAATGGTGGTCTTATGAGTGAACGTAAATGTGCTGCCAGTAATGGTGTTACACCTGAAGATGAAACACCAGTTTCTACAAGTGTTCATCAGTGAGTTATTAAATTATAATAAAAATAGATTTTTTTTGTTTATTGTTTACTTTTTTCTCTTTAAGATGTATTAGTGCTGCCAATCCACCTGTGATAGTTCATTGCTCAGCTGGTATTGGACGTACTGGTGTGCTTATACTTATGGATACAGCTCTGGCTTTGATGGAGGCTCGAGAACCGGTTTATCCTTTAGATATTGTTCGTACAATGCGTGATCAGAGAGCTTGTATGGTGCAAAATGTGGTAAGTTTAATCTTAGAATTTATTACTACTTAAAGAAGAACTTAAATTGTCTCCATTTGCTTTTTATAATATTTTTTTTTTTTTAAATGTTCATACTTTATAGAAAATTTTCTCTATATTATAGAACATTTTCGAAATTTTCTCTTTATAGAACATTTTTAAAGTTTTCGCTTTATTATAGAACATTTTTGAATTTTTCTCTTTTTATAAAACATTTTCACTTTATTTAGATAGTTTTTTCCAAATTTTGTCTTTTTTTAGAAAAATTTCGAAATTTTTGCCTTTTTTATAATTTTTTTTACAAATTATCACTTTTTTGTGGAATTTTTTTCGAATCATCATTTTTTTATAGAAAAATATCAATACTTTATTTTCTCTCTTTTTTTAAACCCTTCACCTTCGTGAGAAGGGTATATATAAGTTTGTCATTCCGTTTGTAATTTCCACCATATAATTTTCCGACCCTATAAAGTATATATATTCTGGATCCTTATAGATAGCGGAGTCGATTAAGCCATATCCGTCTGTCTGTCTGTCCGTCTGTCTGTTGAAATAAATTTTCTGAAGACCCCAGATATCTTCGGGATCCAAATCTTCAATAATTCTATCAGACATGCTTTCGAGAAGTTTCCTATTGAAAATCAGCAAAATCGGTCCATAAATAACTGAGATATGAGCAAAAATCTGTGACTACCTCTGAAAATTTCCTCAACAAATTATAAATAAAAACATAAAAAACAACAACAAGGAAATAAAGCAGTAAAATGTTGGTAATACAGCTCATATTTGTTTGATGGTGGTAATACAGTTTGAGGGTGGTAGTACAGTACAACGGTTAATATTTATTTCTGCGCTAATACAGTTTATATTTGTTTGTGTGTATGTTATGTGTGACAAGTCGATTCAAAATGCGGCTTTTACTACAAATGATGTATTTATTTGTTATTGTTGTTTTTACTTACTTTGATGCAGATATAAAATGTAAAATTATAATAAAATACAAAAATTAATTGAAGTTTTATTAAATTAAATTAAATTATAAAAATAAATAAAAACTGTTTTTTAAAACATACTTGGTGAAGGGTATATAAGATTCGGCACAGCCGAATATAGAAATCTGACTTGTTATAGAAAATTATTGAATATTCTCTTTATAGAAAATTTTATATCTTTTTGGAAAATGTTCAATATTGTTTAATTTATTAAAATCTAATATCACATAAATTTATGTTATTTTTCTTTTTACTTCCAGAGCCAATATCGTTTTGTGTGTGAATGTATCTGTGCTGCTTATATGAAAATGTCACGCAATAGTGCTTTACTGGCACAAGAAGATGATGACGACGATGATGAAGAAGATGACGAAGACAATGTTGATTAGAGACATAAACAAAATATGTACTATATTATAAATTAACTATTGGTAATAATGCACGTGCCTCTCTCTTTAATTGGAACCACAATAATCTAATACAAATCTCTCTCACAGGGACATACACACACACACAGTCACTCATACACTGAACCATATATTTATGACAGTAACTGAAACACGCATATGAAAGATAAATTATATATAGACATACAAACATTATATATTTTTTATATAAAACTTACAGATAATGAAATTGATATAATAATAACCAACCAACATACATAAAAAATACATGCATAATTAAACCTTATTTAATGTTAAGATTCAAAATAATTGTATACGTATTTTTTCAAACAATTACTTCCTCGTTCCCTTCCCACCAAAAAAATTGTTATTATTTTAATACCTCTTCAATTTGCTTTGAAAATTATTTAAAAAATGATTTAAACAATTTGCTGCAACGATTTAAAAGCGCATTTAAAATGTCTATAAAATTTTTGTTTTTACAATTTATAAATATTACTTTAAACATATAAAAAGTTGAAATTTAAAAATATACAATCATTGTCAAATCTCTTCCCCTTATACATACATTATAATTGATTATATAATTTTGTAAGCTAATTTAAAAAATAAAGATTTCTTAGCCCATAAGTTATTCCCGAAAATCCCCAATTAAATATATACTTATTACATACATACATATAATTTTTTTTAAATTTATTTCTCTTGAACCGTTTGCTTAACAACAACCACAATTCATTATTGAAATATCTCTCTGTAATGAATTCTTTACAAATTCAATTACTTTTCGTCACTGCTATATAAATTTACTATAAACTAGAATGTAAACATTTTAAAGGAATAAAATAAAAACGAAACAACAAGAACTATTAGTATTCTAGCACCAAAAACAAAACAAAACAAAAACATATTTATGCTAAAATATACAAACATACATACACATTACATAATATACATAAAAACATACATATATAAATGCATAAATATATATATATACATATATTTATTATTGTAATAAACATTTTACAATGTAGTTTCTCGTTTAATTATAATGTTTGTCTCTTATATTTTGTAAAAAAATAAAATAAAAACGAAAAATAAATATCATTGAATAAAAATATATTAGTTTTAAATCAATAAAGACATTTTCATTAATATAATAATAACATTATGGAATATCTACGAATTATGTGGTACATGGAGATTTGAAAAAAATTCAGTTTTTATAGAACATTTCTAAATTTTGGTTTTTGACAGAAAATTTTCTCTTTTTTATAAAATATTTTTGAAATTTTCTCTTTATTATATATAATTTTCGAAATTTTCTCTTTTTATAGGCAATTTTCTATTTTTTTATAGAAAGTTCGAAATTTTCTCTTATATAAAAAAAATTGAAATTTTCTCTTTTTTTTATAGAAAAATTTCGAAATTTTCTAAAAATGTCTCTTTTTTTATGGAATATTTTTTTAAATTTTCTCTTTTTATAGAATATTTTCAAAATGTTCTTTTTTCTATATAAAATATTTTCGAAATTTTCGCTTTTTTATATAAAATTTTCTAATTTTTTTTTTCTTCTATTTGTAGAAAATTTTCTCATTTTTAAAGAAATTTTCACAATTTCATATTTTTTATAGAAAATTTTCGAAATTTTCTGAAAATTTATCTTTTTTATGGAATCTTTTTTGAATTTTCTCTTCTAGAATATTTTCAAAAATATATACATACATATGTATATTCGAAAATTTCTTAGAAAATTAAAAATTTTCTCTTTCTAAAGAAAGTTTTTGGAGTTTTATCATTTTTTAAACTTTTGTAAAGAAAATTTTCGAAATTTTCTTAAAAAAAAATTCAAAATATTCTGTTATTTTTTATAGCTATTTTGAAAATTTTCTGTTTTTTTTATAAAATTTCTGTTTTTTTATGAAAATTTAATTTTTTAATTTTACACTTTTATTAAAAATGTTATTAAATAGAAAATGTTCAAATTAAAATTTTGATTATACCAAACATTAAATTGACGGTTTTAAGAGATTTACATAGATTTTAACTAATTTAAATTTTAACGGTAATTTATAGTTCAAACAATACACTACTTTTTATTGCAACCCTGCAATTTGTTGTTGTTAATATTGCAAAAAACAGCTGACCAAAAAAATTTATCAGATAACAAAAACAACTGCCTGTGTTATTTATTTTTGTTGAAAAAAAGATAAATTTTAACAAAATTATTTTCGAACAACACTTATTGGCTGAAAAATGGATGAAGTTGATAAAATTATAATACATTCCCTTAAACAAATCGGCTGCAAAGTAGAAGTGGACGATGATAGTGAAGTATTCGGTCTACAGCATTTCACGCCGGATCTCCTGGTAAAAGCAGTCTCAAAATGTTTGCAAGAAATCAAAACAGATGCAGTGCTACCAAAAACACTACCCGAAAATATGGCACAACGTTTTACGGTGGCCACGAGTTTGGCCGAAATGTGCAGCAGCTGTGGCTATCGTGGTGATATTGGCTATCAGACATTTCTCTACCCCAACGTAGTGGATATACGACGTTTGTTTATGTTTCTAATCGAACAGTTGCCTAAAGAACAGATAGGTGGCCTAGATGAGGGCCAGCAGGAAAATAAAGATGATTTTGATTTACTTATGAGGGAGGTGAGAAAGAAAATAAGGCAACAACTTAAAGCACCTTGGGTTCCGCAGTATTGTCGTGGTATAGCCAATAGAAAGTTACTGGGCTGCAGTGGTCTTAGTGTAGAATTTCTTCCGCAGTTAAATTTAAACATTCCCGAAATGGCGAGTGCAACTCAAACAAAAGATGAACATAGTATAGTTACTTATCAAATACCCAATATATTCCAACAAACTTCCATGGGAGACTACGATTTAGTGAGTTCAGTTTTACATAAAAATGCTATAGATGTCTATGCGCCAGCCTTGCAGTCACTGGAGGATGTACGTTTGTCGCTAACGCGACCTGTGCCAGCCATCATTCCCTCTCCCGTAAAAACTGCAGTAAAATCCAACGAAAACGCAGAGGATGAAACAAAAGAAATGGAAATCTCTATAAAAAGTCCTCTAGAAAAACTAAACGAAGAAGTTGAATCCCTTAAACTACAAAACGATCAAATAGTTAGGGAACGTCAGACGGCCAACGTGAAGCTGCAACAATTGCGTCAACAACGTTCAGAAATCGAAAAAGAAATGGAGGATATGAAAAAGAAAACTAAAATACATGAGCGCACCTCAGTTATCTTGGAAAATCCAACGGAAAACCTAGATAAACTGGAAAATTTAATAGAGAAAACTAGGGAACGACGTCTAGCGATGGAAATCAATGGCAGTTGCATAGAAATCCTGCTCTCCAACAAATAGACGACTTACAAAAAATAAGGCAAACGAAAAATCTTCAAAGTATACACGAGCTAAGAAACACTATACAACAACTGGAAACAGCTCTTGTGGAGAAAACTCATGCCCATGCTGTATTAGCGGAAGAATTGAAGAAAGCCTCCAGTGGTGTTGCCTCTCGTAGGGAATATACCAGACGTATTTATGAATTTATAGGTAATATACGCAAACAACGCAATGACATCTACAAGATTCTAGACGATACTAAAGATCTACAAAAACAATTAAATTCCGTCTCCGCCCAACTGCAACGACAATTCAACTATACCGATGATTTACTATTCCAAAGTGCCAAACATGATTTACACGCTAAACAAGCCTACAAACTACTAGCCTCTCTACATGCATCTTGCAATGAGATCTGTGATTTAGTATCACGCACCGGACAAATGACCAAAGAGTCTCGCGATCTAGAAGTACAAATCGATCGTGAACGTATGCGCAATGTGGCGGCTAGTTTGGAAAAGATTACTTTAGATATACAAAAATTTGAAATGATTATAAAAACTATGAAATCGGATATAACTCAAGTGGAGAATGAAATATACTCAGGTTAGAAAAAAAAAACGAAAATTGAAACAATGGAATTATAAAAATAAGGAGAAAAAAAAAACAACCTTTAAATAAGGGGCCACATATTTTAATACATAAAAGTATGCAAAAAATAACATTAACTTATTCAAATCAAAAGAAATATGCTCTTAAGTTTACTCTACCTATCTTTAATAATTAAAAAAAATAATAAAAATTAAATCAATACAAATAATTTATTTAGATTTGGGAACCTTTATTAGGGATTGGTTTAAAATTCGTTGGTTTATATTCTACATTTTCACAAATTTTTCATTTTTATAGAACTTTTTTCTTTCCTAACTGACTACATCACGAACTAGATTACTTACTGACTAAGTTTTCTATCTTAATCCAGATCTTTTAAATAGTGAAAACAAATCTTTGTGCCTAAACTTATGGTAAGCCATTTTCGAAGTGCTTTTATCATAAAACACATACATTTCAACGATTTTGTTAATTTTATTCAAAATTATATTTTTTTATTGCTACAGAAAAAAGTTTGGTCAAATTATAATTTTTTTTGAAATTCATCATAATTAGCCACAAAATTAATAACTAAATATAAACTAATTTATACGTATGTTTGTATATAACTTCAATTAGAAAAAACAAATTTTTGTTAAAAAAAAAAAAGAAATTAAAGAAAGACAATGAAATATATAAACTTAATTGAAAAAATTTTACATACCATGTAATTGATATGTAATTGCAATTATTTTGAATTTAATACTAAAAACAAATAGAAACAGTAATAAAATGAAAACTAAAAATTTTAAAATCAATCATGTACCAAAAATTTCTTTAAACTATCTAAACAATCACTCGATGTCCATTGTTTAATAATTGTATCGAATTCCTCATCCAAAGAGCTAACAATTACATCCAAATGGCTATTTATAGCAGTCTTCTTCATAGCACGATAAGTCTGAAAATAAAATTTGTAAATATGAAATGAGTAATATGATTACAACAAACACTTACCTCCGAAGATAATGAGGCAATTCTTCTGGCTGTTGCAAAAGCATCATCATTTACTTTATTGGCAGCGGTTAATTTATTAACTAGCCCAGCTAAGGCTGCTTCAGTAGATTGTATTCTCTCACACAACCAAAATAGTTTTGTTTTCTAAACAGAAAAAAATGTTTTTTTTTTTTTGTCATCATATTGCATTTCACTGAAATAGTTATTTTAAAGACTTACAAATGATCCTCGTATTTTATTCATATTATGCCAAATGCAATAACCCTCTGGTGCTTGTCCCATTTTAGCGTATGGCGTTTCGAATGTGGTTTTATCACCGGCTATAACAACATCGAATAAAGCCAGTTGGATAACACCCAAATTCATTAGATTACCACTAACACCAGCTATGAGAGGTTTCGGATACGTAGCTAATGTTTTTAAATAATTTCTGAAAATAAAATTTGAAAATTCATTATTTGATGAAAATTAAATTCAATTATTCGTTAAACATTTATTTATGTATTTTAATAAAATTCGATTATTCGAATAAAACTCTATTCGAATAAAGTTCGATTATTCGAATAAAATTTTATTACATATTCGAATAAAATTGGATTATTCACATAAAATTGATCATTCTAAAATCAATACATTATATAGCTTTTTTCAATATGCAACTTACTTAACAGATGTGGCCAAATTAACAGCATAATTTTTGCGTTTTTCAGCCGCAATCGTTGTTAAATCGGTTAGATCAATGCCCTGACAAAAGTGAGCATCATTTGTACCCATAACAACGACATGACAATCCTGATCCGAAGCCAATTTATCAAGAATATCTACCAATTTATTTAACATCTGAAATAAGAAACAAACAAAAATATTGCAATTAATCAGAAAATATAATTTAAAATTTTTAAACATAATAATTATTAATAATTCTCTCACCTGTATGGTAAAGGTGTTGCTTAATTTAGCCTTATTGGTACTGAAAAGAATTTGAGCAACCTTTGAGGATTTTTTAACCACAACATCAGATAGTGTATTAGACGACGATGATGATGAAGATGGTGATGCATCTTTCTTGTCCTTTGCCATAGTGGGAGATTTTGTATTTGCCGTTTTAACCGCCTCCTTGCCCTTATCTTCATTCGTAG